TGCAAAGGAAATCCCTGTTACATTAGACTAGATCATTTATTTTAATTTCTCATCTTACCTGTTTCTTAAGCTTCAATTGTAAGCAAATGTAGCTGTAATCCTTCATAATATGGATCCAGTACTTTCCCAAAATACTGGAATTCTTTGAAAACAGTGGCAGTAGTGCTAAATACTCGTCTGGAACTTCACTTTGATGCCTCCTCAAAAAAGCATAAGCATAACATTTGAGGGAGGCATGAGCGGCCAGAAGTCGTATCTTGATCTATTTCACACAAAGAAAATCTGTCATTCCACCATATCACTGTACCATGATGGAAGGAGTGTCAAGAAAGGCATGTAGTCACATTATAAAAATGCACAAAACAGAGTTTTTTTTTTTTTTTACCAAGACAACACAAAACAGACTTGGGTGTGTTTGTTTTAACTTTTCCTGGAAAATAAGTGACTTTCTAAATCAATAATGGAAGAGGGGGAAATGTGTATGTTGGGTTTGAAAAAGAATTGGGTTGATGCAATGTCAGATGTTTTATAGTAATAAAAATAAATTAATAGCATAGTAGATAATTTGTTTACTAATAACAAAATGAGTGAATATAAAATTATAAAGGGAAAAGGTTGAAAATAAAATTGTCTTAATAAGGTAGCTTTTAGCTTTTAATAATTTGTGAGATAACGAGTGAATAGTGGTTCTAAATGGTTAGTTTAGGGAAGTGTTTGTTTTAACTTTAAGCAACTAGTTTTTGAAGTCACTTTATAGCCAAAACAAACACTACAAAGTTTTACCTAAAACAATTCAGTTAAACATCTTTAAGCTATTGGAAATTTTGGAGGAAAAGGGAACACTAGGGTGATAAAATAGAGAACAAATCATTTCCACGCGTGAAGACCACATATATGGGAAGCATAGTAAAATTGCTTTCTTATTGATTTAAAAAACAATACATAGAAATAAAATACATGAAATGAATTTATAAACTCTTTCGTGATGTGTTCCCCCCAAATTTTTCTCATTTAAAAAATAGGCGAGTTAATATTCCAAAAATTAGGCGAATGTATTGCAGTGAAAAAGACCACAAATCTCCACCTTGCTTGTGTCACTGACATAATAAATGATGGAGAAATCTTCATTTCCAGAAAACCCGGAGGTATTTCCCTTCTTAACCAAGCATATGCCACCCAACACTATATTTTAGTAATCTTTAGGAAGACATACCTTGCATGAGACCCATTCTGCAAATGAAGGATAGTATATGTCCTTGAATTCATCCAGAGGTCGAGAAATCAATAAAAATATCCTCTTAACTGCAACTTGATCACCTCCCAGTATCCCACTGGTCATTATCTGAAGAACATGTGTTAGCAGATCTATTGAAGCATAAAATTATTTTAACAGGTTTTATTTTAAGAGAATGAGAACCCCAGCCAGAACCTTAGTTGCCAATTGCAGCCCTGCCTCCAGAAGTATAGGGCCTGAGGATATGTCTAGTGCAGTACGAACAGCTGATACTAATTGTGCCTACATATCAAACAACATAAAGTAATCAACGGACAGTGCCTTGGTGAGATATATAAATGATATTGTTGTTGTACTAGTGAGTATACCAAGAAAAGGGGTAATACAATATGTATGCAATATATGCTTAAGTCTTTAAGTGCTCCATAGGCCTATAATCCACTTTCTATGGAAATACAAACAACAATGGAACTGTTCTTGTTCAATAAGCAAACATAACACATCGAGTAACACTAACAAATTGGGCTTTAGCAACTAATAGTATTGCCAAATGGTTTCTTAAGCCAATGCAATACTGCCGTAACTTGGGCGGGCTTCAAAATAAAGAGAAAAATGCACTTCAAAAGAAAAAGAAAGTACCTGGTACTGTTCCATCAGAAGGTGACCTGGAAGTTCTGGGTCGGACACAGCTTCAAACTGCATACAGAATGAAAAGAGTTCAAAACAGAATTAACTGCAGCTGCAGAACATGTTCATGATTTCCCTTGAATTCAATGTGACACTGCGGCATCTAGAATGCTAAAAAAATCATGCGACTGATCATTGTCAAGATAAACACTAAGATAGATTGTCTTTTTTTTATAATGAATGTTGTCAAAAAATTTAATCTGCAACACGGAGTCACTGACTGCCCTTAAGCATGTAGTCACTCGGTCAGTCATAAGTTGTCATAAGCTCAGATAGCAATAGTATAGAACAATGGCTTTCGCAGTGACAGATCTGCAGCTTTACTTTACCTTGTCCACAATAGTACTTAACAATCTCACACCAATTGGACGCATGTTCTCAAACTGGATAGTGCTTATCTACGGTATGAAAGATGAGCAATAATTAGCAGTGTATGAGAAATTGGTATTTTTCCAATTCACTTGTAACTCCACAGAGATGTATTTTGCACCTGATAAGCGAGTGAAATTAGTTCTTGAAGATGGAGCACAAGCCAATCCACGTTGCACTGTTCATTATTTTGTCTCCTTGCCAAGGAGAGGTCAAAATGAGCAGTGTTCTTTCCCATGGCATCAGGTAGACGAATCAGGCATCTAGGTGAGAACGATATATTAATGAGCTAAATCAACTGAATGCAAACTTCTTCAATCAGGAAAAAGGAATCAAATACAACACATTAGGCTACAGTGAAAGAAAGGTTCACACTCTTAGATTTATGTTCATGTCTCAACAGTCAGTATCTCAAAGACTAACTTCTCAACAATACCACGAATGAATCATAGCCATAACTCCTGAGATTTCTGCATCATTTTCTATAAAGCAGCTCAAAGTCTAGACACTAATAAAACAATACTAGATTCTGAGATAAAACCTGTAATCTACCACACAGATGAGTTAGAACCTTCACCTCAAGGAGTTGGCCTAGTGGTAATAGACGATGAAAAACAACTAGCAAGAACTGCCAACATAAACTTTGGTCTTTATTTTCATGGCATGAACAAATAACCGTGCAAGAAAAATAACTGAGAATGGTTGAATAGACAGCAAATATACTCAGCCGCGAAGACTCTGGTCCGATATCTGAGCTGCTTGACTCTTTTGTGATTTACAGCCGAGGTTTCCGATTCATAACCAGGATCTGGTGTCCCTTTTGAGTTAGATACCATATCTTCGTCATCCTCTCCATAATTCAGCTTTGAATCGTTATCTGGACCACTGAGCGAATTACTTCCCACGTGATTGCTTTCTGTATCCCTCATTGCTGAAGTAGAAAGAACCTGGGGGAGGTTTGTAAATGTCCAATTAGAACCAGTAAGTGACTTGTCAAAAAAGAACTGTTATGTGGCCTTCTCTTCCCATCAGCAAATGAGGTGATCATTTATTGACAACAATATCAAAGAGGCAGGCACTACATGACAGCATTCAAATAAAGCATTACCCTAACCTATCAGTGATCCTCTTCCAGTTCTATAATGGTGCGCAAGGGCATAGAGCAAAATTATGCAGAATGACATACCACAATGCAGTCTATTCTTTCCATTGGAATAGCAAAATGCTGATAACAACAAAGAAGTTTGTACTCTTTCAATGATCTTTCTACTGAATTAGTAAAAAGCTGATAAAAACTAAGAAACTGTTACTCTTTGCATGATTGCTTGTACAAGTGAGCAAGCAATTTTGTCCTTTTGCCATTGTCATATTTAGTGAATTTATACTGCCACAGAATACATGTATATCATGAACCAATGCGAAAAGACACAAAGGAATATCCACACGAACATAGAATTCCTTTCACAACACTAAGTTTGCTCTTTGTTTCTTATCATTTCAGTAAATATATCTGTAGCTTCAAGCCTTCAACTGCAAGTGGCTAAATTTTTGGTGGGAGAGAAAAACGATCAAATTGCCTGTATCTAAAGACAAAGGAAAAGAATGTTCTTTTTATCTCTTATGTGAAAGCGGGAGCTCAATGCCCTGTTAAATGGAACAATCTGTTATTCCTTCGGTTAAGGAGTATTTGCCTCTAAAGTAAACTTAGAAATAACTTGGTTCAATTAAAATCATATTAAATTTTGAAATAACTATAATGAAATGGTTACATAATCACGATACAAACAATCCCATTCCAGATTCTTTTATACATGAAAAAAGAACAGGAAATCTTCAGACTTCAGATATCAATGTCACGAAAGGTTCAATTCAATAATTATAGCATATTCTCGTGTTATACGGAGATTAAGTAAAATGAAAAGACATCCCTTTCACAGCACAGGTTGATTCTAGTCTGCCATAAAAAAAGGAGCTCACCATCTTACGACATACTGAAATCCAGTGAGATGGTTTTGAAGGACAGGAGGAATGGAGCAACCGCATTATAGTGGCACGTACCAGATTCCCAATCCTAAAATAAAGTTGACAAAAACCGACGAGTAACAATCAGAAACCAAGCTCAGAAATAATTCTGCAACCGCTATTGACTTAGTTAGCTAAATCAAATTTGTATTGTATTCCAAACATCCACCACAATTAGGTTCAAACCTTGGGGCCAACAATCACCTACCTAAAAAAATTCCTACTCTATTCACATAATGTAATTACCATATTTCATGCATAATGACCCAGCAGAAAAACAGACATGTAACAGTGGAGGGAGTAGAGGAACATAAGTTTTGGTTCCTCAGTTCTGTAATTTGCACTATAGTAATCTAAACTATCTTTTAAGGCATATCTCCTGACCCCAACAACCCAAGACATACTACATGTATACTTGTCTATTTGGCTCCTGAAAATAAGTATTTGGGGTCTGCTCTGACCCAGAATATCTCCTTTTGCTACCATAGCCAACAAGTTGGTCAGCTGTCAAGCAAAAGCAAATGATATCTAAGGGTAATTTTATTCATCTGGGGAAGAGCGAGCTATTACTTAGCATGAAAAGCATGACTTACCACCTCATCCTAGCGGCCTAGCACAGGCAGCAAAAACTAAAACGGAAGACTTATTGACACTGCAATAATAGAAGTTGATTATGCAGCAAATCTGAAGTGCAACTTTGAGTTTACTATAACTGAATGGAATTGATTCAATTGTCGGCATGGCCACATCATTGGTTGTCAGAAGAACCACTTGCCTTTATTTAATGGAAAGTATGCTATTGATTGCACATAAGCAGTAATCAATTCAAAGATAACAGGAACGAGATGAAATAACATGATCAGTAAGCTAGAGGGAGTCCTAAATCTGACTTTGACAACGTGATACTGGTGCACAAACCCTCCTCAACCAACCAATGCATTCCCATTCTAAAACGCATGCCCGGGGCAGAATAAACATCCATTTTACCAAAAAGACACAGGAGTGGCAAGTTAGAAGAGAATAATAAGGAAGTCCTGACATAGTATTGCATACTTCCAATCTAGAGGTAACTTCTATTCTTCATCTAACTTGTGCCGTTTAATCTAGAAAACATTTCAGTGAAGATGATGCTTGGACAAACATCATTGTGCAGAAAATAGGGTTATGGTCACGTTGAACTTGGGTAACCATAAAAAGATGGTCCACATCTGCTCTCCATAAACAAAGGGTGAAAGTAGAAAGCAAACACCGACATTTAAAGTGAACATATTTATGCCTGCTGTACTCATCAACAGAAACCACAGGGTCAGGATCTGTAATTTAAGTGATTAAAAGCTTTTAGCCATCCCTAATTGCAATAGTTTGAAACACAAGGCTTATACTTTCCATTTCAGTTATAATATCTCATAATCGGAAAATTAATCACTAATCTTGGGTCGTATAAAAAAAAGAGATTTTTAAAGTGACTGGAAAGTGGATTCGTTAAGGGCACAAGACATCGCCTAAGTAATGACAGTTAAAATCAGTTTGTTCTTCTATTAGAACACAACGCATCAACAAAAAAGAAATGTCATGGATAACACATTGTAAGATTTCAGTCCAACACAAATACCAAAATGGTCATGGTTTATTCTGATGGAGATAATGACAGAAAACGCTGGGGGGGAAAAGTATAGGACAGTTCCTGAATTTGCACAATTCCTTTCAAATATGAGTGAGGATTGTCCTATTAAAACAAGCAGAACATGAAACTTATGCTCAATGGCTTATGCGACCAAATGCATAGTCTAGGTTGGAGATGAACTTATACCATGAAGACCAACCCAAATCAATGAAATTAGATGTACATCCTAAAATTTCTAGTATTTTGTTTTCAAAAGTGCAGCTAAGCAAACAGAAAATAAATAAAATCCTAATAGAAGTTACAATAAAGAACATAGATGAAATCAAAGTGAAAGTAGGACACCTAATTTACCAGAAGAACCTAAATGAGGCACCAGAGGAAAGACTACACCTTTTAATGTAAGGTGACATGTGATAACTATTAACTTACTCAGAATCAGTTTCCTCATCCAGCATGTGAAATAACTTATCTTCTATCTGCTCATCAATAATTGAAACCTGTGACAAATACAATCCACTAAGAATCCTATTCATGAAGACAGACTCATTAAAGTCAACTAAGAGAGACAAACAGCACATAGGTTCAAACTGTTGAACACTCACTGGGTCCTTCTCAATGAGATGTCTTAGGGTTGAAACAGCAACATGCCTTAAGGTGGGCTGCTTCCAAACAAACACGAATTAGAAAAAAGCAAAAATTAAAGAGAGAAATGAACAGCACTTTCTGAAGAGAAAACCCATCATCAAGGAAGCAGACCTGTCTTGAGGACAGAGTTGATAGAAGAGTTTGCACATGGGAGTGCACAGAAACAGCTCGTGGGGCAAACAGAACAAGTTGTTGAGTGAACCGGACACTCCTGTAAAATATACAACAAATGTTGGAAGAACAATTCAAACAGAACAAAAGACTTGTTTCCCAACTATAATTAGTGTTCGGCTTCAGAATGTAATGCAGAAGAAATTTCCATTTGCAAATATCGTAAGCACCAAATAGGAATAATAGAAATAGTTGGCTTGCATACTCAAGTAGCGTTGCAGTCTCGTGCCAGGAGCTTATCTCTGCAATGACAGACTGAGAGCAGAAGTTTACATGAGTTTCACTACTATGACTGCATAAATCAAAAGAAGAAAGTAATGGTGGGCTACAATAGAGAGTTGAGAAGGTAACAAGAAATGTTCATTTCAAACGGGGCCATGGTGCAAACGCATTGTATCTAGTTTTATACAGGGTTCATCTGACTTCCCACCATTGTACACCAAAGGTGTGTTAAAGTCTCTACAAACTCCAGGAGTCCAGATAAAATGTGAGGACAACGTTTCAGGAGCCACTAAGAGCTCCTGCTACAGGGCTATTACCAAGACATGATGTTCCATAGTGAACCTTAACAGTAGGTCCTACCTCACCAATAATCGCAGCACATGTTAGAAAGACTCTAGGTTATAGCCCAAAAGTTATAAATGGCATGTAAGAGCAAGCTGGGACTTAGCATAATCAGTGTAGACTATGAACACGTTCCTCTTCGTATCCCAATCAATGGGAGAAAACACCCTTACTGAAGGTGTGTTGAACAGATGGGGCCATTACAACTTCGGCAACTTTGTAAACATGGAGAACATTAATAGCAATACGACTAACAATTTGTTTACAAGGATAGCAAGATTTTCCCTGTTTTTTGGATGTGCTAGGTTTCTCCAGGCCTTTTTTGAAGGTCCACAATTAGGTTATCAACGCATCAGAACCTTATGAACAACGCGACTAACGCTTTCAACATCCTTCTACCAAGATCGACTCTTGTGCATAAATCTTTACAAATATAAAAAAGAAGAAAAAACATAAACTAAAGACTTAGATAGTAGAAAACAATACCTTGCAGCGTGAAAAGAAAATGCTGCCAGGGGCAAGCTCGGGACCAAGAACAGCAACAATCGCATTGATAAGGCGAGCAACTCCCTGTTGAAGGTCAACCAATCCATTTTCTTCAGATAAGAGAATATCCGTAGCAAGGCCAAGTGTAGCCTGAATAACATTATCAGGAAGGATAAAGGTTAGACACAAGGCGGATTATTCGTTATGCACATCTACAATATGGCCCTAAATAAATAAAACAAAATAGAATAAGCACAAGAACAATCATGCACCAACCCTGGTTGGATAGCAATGCAGATCGTTTCTTAGCAATGCCACTTTAAGTAGGAGAAATCACAGGCAGAAGGAAACCAAGACTTAAGGAACTACTCATGAGTTCATAATAACCTCATGCAAATAAACCTGCCAACACTCCATTGCAGTGGAAAGAGAATTTATTATAGCATACAGCTAGCCAGTAACCTTTCAGATCACTGATATTCATGTTATATATCATCTCATATACTCCAATAAACCTACGATTCATTTTGACAACAACAAAATTTAGGAAAAGCAAAATTTTGAAAGTCTAGAAGTGCAATAATCTTCCATGAATCACCACCTGGACATGAGATACATATGAGAATCCTGCATCCTCAATGGTCAAAAGAAGTCCGTGTAGAGACCAAATCTGCAATCCAGTGATAGGACTCTTCGCTAATGTCGACAATGAGTTCACTGTTGGTGGCACTAAAGTAGACAATGCCATCCCTCCTGCACTGCAAGCATCAAATGTACATCGATAACATCAAACATTAAAGTGGTTCCCTAAGCCCTCATAAACAAATATCATATAAAGAAGCTGAAGTTGGTTGTGTTGCACCAAGATATGACAAGTGTATTAAGCAGCCAAGGCGAACAAAACAACTGAAATCTGCCAATTCACCTGCGATGGATACAGCCAAGAGCGAAAGCCATTGATCCAGCATAGTTTGAATCTGTAGCCACTGCCAGTTCGCTAAGAAGTGACCTAGTCTGTTTAAGATCACAAGAGCAACAGCAAGAGCTAAGACCAATGGATGAAAGCCATACCTATGCTCAAGATTTTAGAGCATTAAGGACCTGGATTTTAGAAGCCTTCGTCTCTACAAGTCATGATGAGGAACTCACCATTTTGGCAGTGAAAATGTCGTTTCCAAGGCGAGCTAAAAGACCAAGACCCTCTGCTGATGCTCTGCGCTGGGATGCACAGATGTCCCCTTCTGCCAGAATACTCTGTAATTACAGTATTAAGAAGAGAAGGTACAGGATAGCACAACCTAGGTTGGCAGTTAAGTCAAGGCCTGGCATTCTACAACAACTTCAATACCTGAAAAATGCCATGCGCTAGACTTAAGATCCCAAGTGCCAACGGTCGAGGACGTAAAGCAATCAAACCCTGAAGATAGCATCAAATCATCACTATGAAGCTAATGACTCCATAAATAGCATTAAGCTTATTGAATATTGACACACTATTTTGTACCTTCAGTCCAGAAAGAAGCCCCACACATATATTGCTCAAACTGGCTGAATGCCATATCTGCTTTTTCCCTGCTTTTAGACACTGCTCGATCATTTGAAGAAATGATACCATCCCATTAGTATCCTGAGAGGAAACACTGCCATATTAGAAACAACCACCCATTTCAGTCATAAAGAACCTGTTAAGACATGCAAACATATTATCATAAAACCTACCTGAGTGGCAAATATGAGCCCAAAGCAGAGTAGCATCTGGTTGACCAACATCTTGTTTATTGTTTCAGGCTTCAAGAAAATTGTTATCAAACTCAGTATCAAAGAAAATGAACAGCACAACCAACCTACCTCTAAAGCCAGGAAGGATAAGGCAAACTCAAAAAGAAACACACAGATGCACACACGCACACATGTCGTCAGATGTATTTCAGAGCAGGATTAGCAGTATCACTCAATCATGAAAGGCAGTCGCTTAGCAGCAATGGCTGCTAGGAAGATGCAATAATAATGGAAATTAAAAAACCTTATGCAAGTACTCTTTCTTTATTTGAGTGATCAAAGTTCAAATCTCAAAAACCCTTATGCACAGCGCCGTTATTTCAGAGTACCAGGTATAACACTTCTCATATGACCTAATCCACACAGGAACAAGACGAAACTAAGGACCTTCAACACAAATACATAAATGCAAGCACTGATGCTGGTGTGGACAATGGTAGTCAAGTAAGGGCATAAAAATATCATTACGATAACGACAGGTGTAATGTTGCCCAACTGTGAAGTCTTTTCAGGAAGAAAAATACAATTTTATATTCAAACGTTAAAAGCTTTTCTTTTCACTGCATAGAATGACAACATGTTTATGATAGCAGCAGCTGACCAACCTACGCCATTGAGGAAACTTAACTGGCAACTGACAAAAGCATTTGCAATCTAGTAAAAGCTTACCTGAGGGAAACTGGAAAGTTCACTTTCCCATACACAAGGAACAAGGCCATCATGGCCGCCTTGAAAAGCACGTAATTCATCCTCCAACCAATCCCTGATAAGTGCCCAGACAAAGGTTGGTTTAAGAACAATTTATAGAGGAACTTGTCCAACACAACCGTAATTCCTAGCGGCCAAGGACCACCAAGTGGCTCAATGGTTAAGGAGCATTATGCCAGGCCAAGGTCAAATGCCAAGGGAAAAGGAATAAGTTTATTAAGAAAGCGTTAAATGCATGGCAAAGAGAACAGAAGGAAAACAAGGCACCTTGCAGGAATCCAAGGTCCCAGCCACGCATCCCTCTTGTCCAATAGCAACCTTAAGCAGGAGTTTTCCTTGCATCTAGATGCCTCTCTTTAAGACACACAAATGGATGGTATGAGAATGAAAGAGCCCGCTAAACCAGTAAACCATAAAGAAAAGAACATAGAACAAATGAGCCAAAGACAAACAAGACCTTCTTTCGTCAACGGTCGCAGAGAATTACCTAAATGGAATGGTACACAGTTGCATAATCTGAGGATGGTCCCTCTTATATGTCATTGGGTCGGGAAGGGATTGATAAGCCATTAAAGTTCTGATAATGAATACGTCCACTGCTGACTTAATCTTTGATGGGTCTTTTCTTTGTAGCACCGATATGTAAGACAGAGCACTGATTCCACATTTAAGTCCAACCAGTTAGTAGATGACACAAAGCACTTCACCAATTTAAAAACTGGAACTCTTAAATGTTACCCATACCTACTAAGGTAAACCAAAACTGGCTGCAGCAGAATACTATTGTCAACGCTACTGGAAGTTATGAAACATCTTACAAATGCTGCAAGCGCATCAACAGCAGCAGACCACACACTACAAAAGTCAAAAGAAACCAGGCAATGAAAATGCAAATAGCCTGATGATATTATATGATATAATTATGGAACTCGCTACAAGTAATAAAAAAGTAACAACTTCATCAATGCACAAATAATGAAAACAGTTCATTAATATCCATGCTGTCATTTAGGCAAACAGCGCAAAGACAAATGGAAGAAAAAAATATATTCAGGCACTTTTTTGTGACAAGGCCAATGGCGTCATCAATTTATATTATAGATAGGGAATAGCTAAGTCTTAACTCTTTCACCGAATATTCCTAATTCCAAGTGAATTGCTAGGTGTACGGTATATGGTTGATTGATAAGACATATGTCCTCCACAATAAGTGCTTGTAAATGTCCCTCATGAACACAAGATTATGTTTCAAGTTAAATGCTCACCAGATCCTAGATGTCAAATCTCCTCCCTGCTTTGTTTCATGCTCAGGACTTTTGCTAAAGAGAGTAGCCCATAGAGAAAGAATATCAAATACCTGATCTTCAAGTTCCTGAATGCAAATCATAGTAACATAACATGAGCATATTAGTGCTTATGACCGATTCATACAGATCACAGGTGAAAGTCATACCTCCTTTGGCATGGAAGACAAAAGTGATGACAGAAGCAACCAACCAGCCTCATTCACAGCAGTCGCAGCAGTAGGATTCCGACTAGATCCAGTCAGCATTCTTTTGGACACTTCAAACACTGACTTGGACAATCTGAAATCAGAGCAAGGAAAAATATTGTAATAGTAAGATCAAGGAAGATCACCAAAATAGTGACGTTGACTCTCAAAAGCAAACGAAAGACAAGCTATATACAGTCAAACGTCAAGCATCCACAAAATATGTCACTAAAGAAACAAGGTTATTTATGCTCTTCACAATGAAACCATTCGAAACAAACTTGACCATGGTCAAATATTTTCAATCACTCTCCATGGAAACACATTGAGAAGATGATTAAGGGCACATTGATCATATAAATCTTGTATGAAAGATTCTGCTACAGATGGAAAGCTTTTACCCCCCCCCCCCCCCCCCCCCCCCCCCCCCCCCCCACCCACCCACAAAATGTGTGAGAGAGAGAGGAGGACAGAGAGAATGCCCCTGAAGCCAAGTGTTACAGTTTTAAAATTTCAAGGAACTCAATCACGATCCAGAAAACAATATACCTTCCACACAAACAAATGAAATGCACACGATCCCCCATTTTAAGGCTGTAAGTAACAAGACATCTGAATAACATAAGATTACACCAACTATAACAAACTAAAGATACAGAACTCCCTTTACCTTGCTGGATAACCGAGAGGTAACTTTGGTGATACAGCAACTAGAGCAGCCAAAACAGTAGCTTGTCCATGCAAAGAATCAAGCTCAACTTTCACAGTGGCTCCCTGAACAAGTACACCGGAATTTGTTAATAAAGAGAATCCAGAAGTGAAAACAAAAAAAGAAGCGTTAGAGAGATCTCAAAAAGGACTACACCTTTCCAAATAAAACACTTTCCCTCAAGGCACTTAGTGTGGTCACCCCATAAGAAACCAAACCACCCACACATGTAGGATCAACCTCAGCCAACACACGCAATGTCAAAGCAGCCTCAACTCGCACCTATCATCAACAGAAGGATCCATGAAGGCAGCAAATGGAAATAAATTAGAGAATCAACAAAACCAAATCAAAGATGTTGAAAACCCATCTATAGCTGGAGCCTAGAGGTACTTACAAGTTGCAAAGGGTGAGATACTGCAGCGACAAGTGCATCATCAAAGACTTCTTTAAACTCAATGGGTACCTGTATAGAGCAATAATAAGCACACACTGGTGCATAGGGCACGCCAACATCTACATTCATCATTTTCAACCTTTATGGTAGTAAACACAACAATTCCTTCCCTTCACGACCTAGCTTGACATTTTTATTGTCAACAAACCAGGCACTAGGAGTTATGCATCCCAATATCAATCCAGAGTAGTTGTTAATTTCAGTCAACATGTGGATGAAAAGAATGATTCTGATCAAACTAGAGGCTGCATGCAAAAAATTAATATTCATTGCCAATCAATGATCTTACAAAGAAGAATCATGAATGAAAAATCCATTTTATTTGGAAGACAAAGCATAACTAACACTCCAAACCCATGCATTCTGATTTAGAAACAATAAGAATATCGAGCGCCAAGCTAAAAACAAATTGCTAAGCATTGCAGGGCAGAGAAATGAACCGTAGTGCTAGTGCATGTCAGCATATACATGGAAAACCTGGGGCATGTGAGTACTTGGCTCTATGTATGGTGTGGGTGGGCATATAGTTAGTTTTGTGGCCTACCTCACCCAACGTTTTCAAAGTGTACGACATGGTACGCAAAGCGGCAATTTTCATCGAAGGACTGGCACCAGAAGACCTGAGCTGCAAATTCCACGAGACTAAATAAAATGAGGACCAGTTCCTGGAATCGTATACCTAACTAAAACTCCATTACACACCTGTTTTCCTAGGAAAACCAAGAATCCCCTCTGAGTTGGTTCTGTCATCTGATCAGTCACCCCAATTCGCAGGACATAGAGCACACATGCCTTCAAAACACCCAGACACCAAATAGTCAGTAACTCAATCAGGCTTCAGTGTAGGCATTTCATATTAGAGGGAAATTAAGTTAATTATAATGCTTATTTCAGTCATTTGACATCTGCTGACCACATCGAAGCACTCTGAGGTTGCCTCAGGAATATCAAATGAACTAAATACCAGATAAAATCTATAAGCTTAATCAGATAAACAGATCAGCTGCATAAATCATCAGCCATTCATTAATTTCCAGGACTATCTCATCCCACTGTGTCTCGTGAACCTTATCCTTCTTTCTAATTGAGTAGCCTTCAACCCGAACTTGAATGTAATGGATTAAAACTAAAGCATACATCAAGCTATGTTAAGTTTTGATAATAGCTCTTTAAAGAAAACATCACATTATTGGACAAATATGAACACCAATGCTTGGGAACATCAAAGCTTGACAGATATATACCAACGCATGGGCATCAACTGAACTAGCATTGCGAAGCATTTCCATAACCCTCAGCCCATATTTTTGGAGATCGCTATCCGGATACATATACTTCAGGCGTATCACCTGTAAGGGAAGAAAACATTCTTAATCATTCAGCATAGGTCACTTCAAAAGCTTCACCACTAATGCATAGAACAAAAGACTTGGCATCAGAACAAACTCATATGAATAAGCATGGTCCACTTGAAAAGCCCGTCACTCAGCGCAAAAAAAAAATGCTTCCCTTAAGAAGTAATCAGATATTTAACTCAATATTTTAAGAAAATGCTGTTGGTTGCCTTTGCCACAGACTGTTCAGAATTGATAAATGATCTCCAGAGAGAAATATCGGCAGAAAGCAAAGGACATTCAAAATCAACAAAGAGACAGAGGCCAAGTTCGAAATAAGATACTATGTCGCTAGTCAAACACTGAATTCAATCCAACAGCATCAGATCACCAGCCAGTATTACATCAAAATGAAATTAGACTTCCCCAACAATGTGTACACCTGTGACTAGTTTTCTATCATTTTTATCTTTCCCCATCAAATAAACTATTGTTCTCTCCTCTGCATCAGCAACCAAAAGAAATGTTGTAGTCGTGCCAAGTACAATTGCACATTCAAAGGGAACATCATTAGTAGCCCCACATTTGTCATCCAGTTAATTTATGGAACCTTAAAACTCACACTGAAATGCCATAGCTTTTAACGAAAGATATTCCAAGTTCACTTCCAAATAGACAAGAGAAATATTTCAAATAGAGAGACTGGTAATAGCTTAAGTAAACAGAAAAATCTAGAATACAGCCGATGCACATGAAGCAATTAACAAAGACCTTTAAGTCAATCAGAAAGTATCAGCAGAAAAACAATAGGGCAATTGCTCCATACAGTGGCTACCATGTAATAGATATTGAAGAAACAGGACTCAAAGAATGAAAGGCAGAACAAGGTTCATTGTTGACAGGGTATCGTAAATGTTTACCTGCAAAAAGGATACCCAGGATAAAGTGACACCAATCCGTACATCCTTCAAACGAGCTCCACCAGCTGCATTTTGAAGTGATTGTGAGAGTGAAAAGAACGCCATTTCAAATTAAAGATCATTATTGCAATTTAAAAACCGGATGACCTACAAGTCTAGTGCTAAGACAAAGTACTTAAACTATAGAAGTAGAACGTCTTCTGTAATCCCAAATCAACAGCCCCATTATAGTTTCTCTTAGCAATTTCAGATAAAAATATTAGAGAATAAACCTACAAATTCTCTCTTTCATTTTCTCCGTATAAAAAAATAATGATAATAATAAGTCAAAAAATTGATTACTTCTATATTTCTGGTTCTTTAACACATGGGTTGTATTATTTACTCCTGTGTATAGTTAAGCTTTGAGGGGCTACATGACTGGAAACTAAGGTGGACCCTTAGAGAAACTCGAGTGGATTGTTACAGAGAAAACCCATTGAAGAATTTTAAGATGGAGTGGGTGCCTAGGTATCTCTTTCTTTTCTCTATTGTTTGCTTTCCTTTTCCTTTTTAACCATTGATGCTTGGAAAATAAGACGAACAAAAGATGCTGGAAGAAGTTATGAAAACCATTAGAAGATTCTCCCATTGGGATGTTGGTTGACTCCCTGTTTGGGATGAGCAGTTCATTCTACTGACCCAGACATTCAGTGTCTATCAGGAAACCCACAAATGGAAATTCTCATTACAATTCAATACTGACTATAAGGAGGAGAGGAAAAAGAAAGAAATGTTATATTACTGGTATGAAAAGACATCTTAAACAATCACAACAGAGGCTCTGAAACTCTGGTACAGCCTATGGAATTCAGTTCCCAAAATGAGATCTACAACGACTAAACGGAGCTCAAAACCTCCAAATTTGCACACTTGATCACATTTAATAGTAATGAGAGAAATAAACTATAGTATCAAGCTAAGTAAAATTGAATTAACAAGATAATGAAAGCAGAAAAAGACATAAAAGATTTAGTGAATACCTTTTGTGAAGGGCACAGCCAAATGCCTTTGCAGACATCCTTCTAGCTTTTTTGCAGGGGGGGAAGGACCTTTACCCTTGGGTTGAACCTAGCATGACGAAAGTGAGAAGAAAGAGGATGGAAAGAAAGGGGGGAGGGAGGGAGGGAGGAGGAGACCAGGACCTGGAAAAAAGAATCACTAGACAAAGATACCTGTGCTTCAGGATTCATTCCAAGAGCAAGCAGGGAACCCAGAGCATCAGCAAACGCATCCCTGACAGACGATACAGGATCCTCAAGAGCCTATAAAATGCAATAATAAATAACTTCTTTTTTCCTCTTTTTCTAAACAGCAGATAAAATTGATCAGGCAATACATGAGAACCAAGAGAATGCAAATGACCCAGAAGAAAAACCTGCCTTAACACAATAAGATGCGGAACTCTCAAGTTCTCCAGCTCCTAAACCAGGACCTCCAATGCTCGCAAATGCCTTCAGACAGCGAGCCGCAGCAACTCTGACTATAAATGACTTATCTGTAATGCCAAAGCGTGTGATAACACGGTATGCTTCAGTATATGCTGAAGCCATTGCGCTACCACCTGATCCTTCCAAAGCTTTTTGAAGCATAAGGAGAGCCTCTTGTCTCACGAACTCCTGATATATTATATATGGAAGCACATCAAATGAGAGAACCAAAATTAAATGAAAACAACCCTAATAAATCCCATTAACAGCTCT